TACTTGTTTCCTCTAAAGTTTTTGCCAAAATGAAACTGTCTGGTGCCACTGTGTCACTTAGTCTTTTTCCAATGTCTTTTTTTTTTTTTTTTTAAGATTTATTTATTTATCATATATACAGTGTTCTGTCTGCATGTATGCCTGCAGGCCAGAAGAGGGCATCAGATCTCATTACAGATAGTTGTGAGCTACCAAGTGGTTGCTGGGAATTGAATCAGGACCTTTGGAAGAGCAGCCAGTGCTCTTAACCTCTGGGCCATCTCTCCAGCCCTCCTTCCAATGTCTCTTTAACTTTCCCTGTCTTGCCAGGCGCTGGTGGCACACGCCTTTAATCCCAGCACTCCGGAGGCAGAGATCCTGTCATGAAAAACCAAAAAAAAAAAAACCACTTTTCCTGTCTTTTTTCTATCCTGCCTCAATCGCACACATGTGACAGATAGGGTGTCTCCCGCGCCGCCCCGGCCCCTCCCCCCCCAATCTCAGAGGACTGACCATTTCCCTACTCTCTTCTTGGGGAGTCTGCTGAGAGAAGGTACTCATACACAAGGATGCAGGCTTCAGGGCCTCTGACAAAAGCTGGTGTAACTGCCATCCCAAGTCCCTGGACTCTCACCCTCCCCTCCAGATGTAAACTCAGCTCTAGTTTTAGAACAGCTACTATGGACATTGAAAGGACAAGTATCAGCCCAGGACCCTGCTGAGGGCCGTGGGAGTATACAGCAAGTGACAACTAGTGTTTGACAAATCGACCCACCAGATGAATAACTCCCTGATGGAGAGCCCCTGGCCAAGCCGTGGTGGGGTCACTGGCTGTGAAAACCGGTTGTTTTCTGTCTGTAACTTTCTCATGTGCCACTGTTATGCTTCCCCATAAGGACAGCTGTGGGTGCTTTCCACAGCCCTTTGGTAGTGTGTTTTACATCTCTGGGCACACGTTCAGCTGTGGATTTCTGTTTAAGCTGTATAATTCTGATGAATAGAAGTATTACCAGAACATTCTTTACTGACACAGGAAAGTAACAGTATTCTCAGTCTCAAAGACAGCCTTTTACACATTTTTGCAAAGACCTTAGAACTAGTCCAAAACAGACTAAGCTGAACCTACAGAACATACACAAAGACTAATGCCCAGGTGTTGTTTATTGCTAAATCAAGGCCAGGCTGTTTACATCAAGACACAGTCCTTGCAATAGCTCCCTTTCTGCAGGTACCCTGGCCGCTCAAGGCTCAGTCAGTTGTTTATGTCTTGGACCCCTCACCAACTTAGAGCTATGTGCATGGGTCAATGTGACATTACTAGCCTAAGGGAAATTATGTGACTTATGTTGTATTTTGAGAATGGGTCAGGTCCTGAAAATGTAACTTATAATTGTCCAGAATTTGGCTGTGAGGAAGAGCAGCGGCGGTGTGGAGAGAGATGGCTGTGTAGAGCTATGTGTGAGCTGCTGCAGAATGTGAGTGAAGTGTGTGTGTGTGTGTGTGTGTGTGTGTGTGTGTGTGTGTGTGTGTGTGTGTGTGCTGAGTGAGAGATGAAGGAGAAGGAGAAGAAGAAGAAGCATGAAAGAAGTGTGAGGGAGCAAGTGGATGAAAGAGTGAGTGAGTAAAGAGAGAACAATGTAAAGTATGTGTGTGGAGTGAGTGAGAGAGAGAGAGAGAGAGAGAGAGAGAGAGAGAGAGAGAGAGAGAATTTCGAGCTGCTGCTACATAGAGGAGCTGTGCTTAGGAGCCGTGTGAAGTGCTGTATGGTGAGAAAGCTATGTAAATGAGATGTTCAGCTGTTGCTGGGTGGAGATTTGTAACTGTGGAGACAAGGAAGATGAAGCTGTATAGAATAGAGATATAGAAGAGAAATGTATGTAAGAGATAGATGTGTAGACATGTGAAAACAGATGCAATGTGTATAGAGATGTATGGCCGTATGTATAAGACATGTAGTATCGGGGACTATGGGGTCCAGCCCCTCGATAGTCCCCTCCCAGGGTCCGGGAAGAATCTACAACCAGCTGATAACTAATCTTTGATGAAAAGAAATGA